CATGCCTATATAAAGCTGTTCAAGGTCAAGGGGATCTCATTTCATCTGATATACATCTGGGAACTAAACAGTATGGGTGGCTGAGAGAGCTACAGTTTTAAAAGGAGAATAGGACCCTCATGGACACAGAAAGTGGACTAGAACTCCTAGAAATTCCAACTTATTACAGATATCTTTTCTCCCATGGATGAAAAGGCAGTTTTATGCAAACTGTCATATACAGATGCATTTACATTCAAACTGTATGCTTCACTGCAACTCGGTGACTTTCCATTTTCTTCTATGAAAAAGCACCTGCATCCAACTAGAATTTAAACAGGCTGTATAAAGTAATTCAATAGCAACAAATGCACTATTTAAAAATGAATCAATCTGAGCTATGTAATGGTTTTAGACTGAAGCAGCTGTTTTATAAAATATACATATGCAATGACATTTCTTTTAGTGGAAGCAACTTGCTGAAGAATTTGAAAGAATCTTTTAACATATAAAACAGACCAATTAGAAAATAAATAGCTACCAAGAAGCCTATATCTATGGTTATTCTATTTTTGAGACAAGAATAGAGATACATGAATAAACAGAAATTTTTTCATCTTTGTGAATTTATAGGAATTCTTGCAAAAGTATTAAAAAAATGAATCCCATTCAGTTCATCTTTTTAAAACTTCTTAATTGAAATGAATAAAATTACTAAATCAAAATGCTCAGAAAAAATCTTGGATATGTGATTCACTTATAGTTAGCATAATCATGAGATTCTAAGAATTTTGCTACCATTTTGGGGACTAACTGATGATGACAGACTAGAGATAAACACTTAGATGCCAATTCCAATTCTCTGTACCATGAAAGAGAAAAAAACTACTTTAACGTATAAGAAACTGTGAAACAGCACAAATAAAACCCCATCTTGTATGCAGATTATCAGTTAAAGTGAAATTACTACTTTAAATTATCAACTTAGAAGTGGAAAATTTAACATTTTCAAAATGATATTCACTGAATTACCTCTATCTTTCCTGATTCATATAATCAAGCTAGCTATAGATGTAACTCAGCTATCCACTTATATTTATGTCTATGTATTTGCGCAAAGTTAAAACACTTAAATTTGATTAAAAACTTTCTGAATCAATGAAAGCAAAGTCATTATTATTTGGAAAACCAACCATTGACCATAATGAATATCTTAATTATTTTGATACGTGAAATATGCAATGTAATTATTTTTATGCTGGATTATACTGGGAATTTCCCTACACTTCATATTTAGTTAACTGATATATTACAAGAACAGCGATATTTTTCTTTTTAAAAATGAACTTAAAAACTTCCATAAATTTTTAAAATTCTGATTTATAAGTCGTTATTGCCATCTGCTGGTTATACAGTTTCATTGCATTTTGGGGTAAAAATTAGCAATTGTTTTACTAAAAGAGAAAACAGACACAAGTTTTAGAAATAGATGACTGGAAAATCTCTATGTAAGAGAAACAATTTACTAAATCACAAGGTATCTTCATCTCAAAGAGGAAAAAATAATTCGAGAATACATTGCATTATATCAAATTATAATGCACTATTTTAATTGTCAGTTCATCGTAGAATAAGTATCAGGCATACTGATTTAAGTCACTGTCATTAATAAGCATAAAGCTAAAATATGACTTAAATAACTGTTCAAAATAACTAGCTCAAAATAAGTGAACACTGTTAAAGAAGTTAAAAAAGATGAAAACTTGTCAGATTCTATTCAAGCAAAAAAAACTGAGCGCCATGTTTTCCCTCACATACACAATCTATCCCTCTCCTTACTGAGAGAACGCAAAATTATTTAGGCAACTGTCTCTCAGTATTCTGAGTTAACTAGTGAACCTTCAACTCGTATTACTGTTTAATAATAGAATTAACATATAACTTAATGACAAAAATCCAGGTGAGCAAAACATTAATTGGAAATAATACTCATCAGTATACTCTGAATATGGTCACTCTAGAGCAAGATATAGTAATAATTTTATTTTATTTTATTTTTTGGCCATGCTGTGTGGCCTGTGGGAGCTTAGTTCCCCCACCAAGGATTGAACCTGCGCCCCCTGCAGTGGGAGCACAGAGTCTAAACCACTGGACTGCCAGGGAAGTCCCCAAGATATAGTAATAATTTTAAAGTTAAGCATATACTCTTTTAGATGCTTTACTATGTTTCAGGTACTTCAGCATTTTTCAGATCAGGAGATAAATTAGAGCAGTTAAGTTACTGGCTAAAGGTAATCTTGGTAAACTTGCATATATGAGTCCTCTATGTAAAAGATTTAGAATGGAGCATGGAACACAGTTAATTCTATGTGTTTACTATATATCTGAATCATATGTATCCTGCTTATTTTACCTTTAACACTATATCATGAGTATTTTCCTATGTTGTTAAATATTCATTCAAAACGACTTTAGTCAATTTAGTAATGCTTCACTGTTATCAGTGTTCTGTAATTCGTTGTCTGACATGGAGATTACTTCTAATTTTCAATTATATAAAAAATAGTACAATGAACATTATTATAAAAATTATTTTTTAAATGCCAAAAATGACCAGATTTGTACTTTCAAGGGCTAGACCAAGAGAAAGAATATGCTTTATTCTGTTAGGACATGGAGTGATCCAAAAGACAACTGGAAACTCCAAGAAACAAACAAATTCACAAAAGGGAAACATAAGAAATAGGCAAAATATACTGAAAAGAAGGAGACCGAAATCAGATAGTTCAAAGGTTTACAAGAAAATGTCACTAAAAATGACATCTGGCCAACATTCCAGTAGCAGCCACTCCTTCCTTCCCACAAAAATACCCACTCCTCATGAAAAACAAAGACATAAAACTTATACAATCACTTAAATGAATAACCTATCAACAAGGACCCTCAGATTACCTTTTAAAATATTCAACAAGATATAACTTAAAATAAACACATCTATTAAAATCAGGGAGAGTTGAAGGATAAACCGATTAATTGGGAAAACACTGATTTTTTGAAAAGGCACAGATGGCCATATCAATTTCAGGTAAAAGTAGGATGTATAATTCAGCTGACTTGAAACGTCTATTGGAAAATATAAATTTCCCAAATTGATACCAGAAGTAGTAGACAATGTAAATACATCATTAATAATGAAGGAAACTTAAAGACTAAAGAAAAATAAAAAGGCTCCAGAACCAGATGTTCTAATACATTCAAAAGATGCAAATCCACCCAATTCATTTTATAAGTTTAACATAATTCTACAATTCCCTTTTTATTAAAGGGAAACAAAATCACTGCACTCCAAAAACAATATTAAAATACTCATATGAAAAAATAAGGTTTTTTTTGAATCTGCATATTTACTCAATAATATATTTTTATCAACCACCCATAAGTACCTTGTATTTTAAACTCAGGATTGGACGATTTATTAGCTGTTAAACGTTGGGTAAATCATTACATCCTTGACCCGCGGTTTCCTAATTCGTACAAAGTTATCATGTGAATTAAATGCGAAAACTTTTTTTTTTGGCCCCGCCGCTGCCGCGGGGGCCCCTGGCCTTAGCAGCGAAACCGCAGAGTCCTAACCACTGGACTGCCAGGAAATTCCCCAGATGCGAAAACATTTTAAGCACCAAATATAGTGCCAGGGATGTAGAAACACTCCTTGAAGAAAATCTTACAAACCAACAAATTAATATTAGCACTTATTGAATTTAATAAGTGACAAGATAAATAATATTGTCAACAACTGCTTTAGACCTTCAGAGTAGGGAAATTAATGTGGGGCTGGGGCTCGGAGGGTGATAGAATTGAGATGGGCAGGCAGAAATGGATGAAAAAGCTACAGGAGGGCTTTTCGGTATAAGTAAACGGATAGTTATGGAGTCACACTACGGACCTCACTTGTAATGACTGGAAAGGCAGATTTGTGTCCTTGGACATGGGAAACTAAAGTTGAAAGGGCAGACTGGGGCAGCTTGCTGAAGGTACCGATGAAAAAGCTAAGGAGTTCACGTTTTATTTGCGGGCTAATGGGAGCCACAAGCATTTCTGAAGGGTGTGGCATGCGGAAAATTAACCTGGCCACAGTGAGCCTAGATTAGATGGGGGAGAAGGAGCTTAGGGAGTTCGATCCATGATCAAACAGATGGGACGTGAAGCGGCGTGGCCTGTAACAGAGGACATGAAAAATACCAATGGCCCCTGTCCATCTTTGCCAGCCGCCCTGGCATCACGTGTGGCTGTGCAGTGACTATGGGGCTCCCCTCTCACATGTTCCTGCGTGGTCCCTGGTTCAGAAGGGGGAGACTACTGAGCGCAACTGCGCGCTCAACTGCTGACGAATTCTGAGCAACCTTGTTGGGGTCACAATTTCACTTCAGAATGGATTAATAAGCGCTGTCCTCAAAGGGGACATCACCGAATTCCTGTCAACCAGAGGCTCTGGGGTTAGACTCACCGGGCTGACGCCTGCTCTGCCACCTGCTGCCTGCGGCCTCGGGCCACTGCCTCGGCGTAGGAGACGGACTGAGTGCCCATGCTAAGTGTTCCAAGGCGGCGAGGAGAGACGCTCCTAATAAGTGCCAGGCGCATCACAGGCGCCCACTTCCTTCCCTCGCTCTCCTTCTACGGTTATTTCTTTCAGTTGAGATCTCCTTTCCCTTCAATAACCTCGAGGCAGACAATCTTTTGGTAAAAATAACAAAGCTAAGCCTAAAGTCGAAGAAAGTTCCTTAGACTTGTCCACCAGCAGCGTAGGGCAGCGGTGAGCTGGGCGGCGCACGTGAGAGGATAAGCGTGAGGAGACGCGCGCGGGGCTCTGCGCGGAGTCCGCTTACTTGGGGCTGTACACGTGGAGGCGCACGTGGGAGTATGCGCGCCGAGCTGCGCGCAGGGTCTGCGCACGTGGGGCTGCACGCGTGGGCGGCGCACCGGCCGCGCGGGGCAGCTTGGGCCTGACGCCGCCCCCCTTCCAGGTTTCGCGGTCGCCTTGACTACCCGGTGGCCCGCAACGGCGGCGGGGACTAGTCGTTGAGGCTGTGAGCCGAGCCAGACACCTGCGGACCTCGCCTGACTCGGCCGGGCCCGCGCCGGAGAGAGTAGCAGCTCCATCCGAACAGGGACTATGAGAAAATGGTCGGGCAAACGAGGAACAAGCTCAAAGAAGCGGCCTCAGAGCCGTCGCACTCTCTCCGCTCCACGCAGTCTAAGCAGCGGCGGCGCCGGGCCACCGGAGCCGGGGAGCCGGAGTTGGACGAGGAGCCGAAGGGGAAGGTGAAAAAGACGGAGCTGCCTTTGCCCGCATGCGGGGGGAACCTGCCAGAGGGCGCCCGGAAGTACTCGCCGCGGAGGACCCGAAACCTGAACGCGCAGAATTGCCTGCAAATGGAAGTGGTCGGAAGGACCGTTCTTCTCGGCCGCTTTCAATTCCTCAGATGTTTCATGGAGCAGCTCCGCGACAAGGTGCATCTATTGCAGAGATGTCAGTTCACGGGCAGTATGACCCTCGGCATAGGTGAGCAGAGAAAGCCCTCGGCAGGAGCCCCGACGGCTCGAGGCCCAGCACTCCCGCGCGGTAGGCTCGCATCCGAGGGACCCGCGGGCCCTCTGAGCCTCGGGTTGGGAGTGGTTTTGGTGAATCTTGCAGATCAGTTTAACAAGCAAGCCTAGCAGCAATAATGGCGAGGTCCAATCTCTGGAAAATCGCTGACAAGAATTTCCAGTCCCCTTCTTTTAAAGTTCTTTTTAAGTTCTTTTAAAACATTTTTAAGGGTTTTCAGGAACAGTGATCACTTCATGTGTCACCAACAAAATGTCATCTTAAGGCAGCCATTTATCACAAGTTGTGAAAATGATAGGGTAGCTTTTGGGGGGGAGAGGTCAGACATTGTATTTTTCTGCACCTTGAATAAAGTAAAATAAACTGTTGGTTATTTTAATGAGTTGAGAATCTTTAATAGTGGAAATAGAGTCACATTAGGCAATATATTTACCCATGTTTTCCATTTATTTTCATCTTGCTGAGGAGCTTTGATGCTTAAATTTTCTTCTTATTTAAGCACTTGAAAGATGTTTATTTGTATTCCTCATTTTCTGTAGCTTAAGACATAACTTAAATATTGCTGTTTCATTAAAATCAGTTTTGAGCCTAGTCTTTGGTCAGACTGGCTGCTGATGTGTATTGAAACACAGATAAATGTCTCCTAATGTAAGGTACTGTGATTTCTATCATAAGTTGACTGCTGATGTTAATTAAAGTAGAATGAATGTCCACGTTTGGGGTGTGTTGAAAATACTTGAGAAATAATAGATGGGGGTTCATATTTAGATTTTGTCAGATGTCTAATTATGGAAACAAATACATTCCACATCCAGAATCAACATGGTCTTGAATACAGAGGTGTTTTGCACAAACACAAGCCCTGGTGCACCCATGACTGGCACATTGAAGGCACTCAATCAATGCTGGGTGAAATGATGAGTGAGTATATTAAGTGCTATGAGAGTTCCAAAGAGTGAACATACTGGAGAATGGGAAGTGGGAAATGAGATCAGATAAGACTTTTAGGAAAAGGTGGGATTTGAATTGTGACCAAAAGGCTAATATTTGGATGCCTGAAGCACAGAACAAGTTTAGAGGCCTATAGAACAGCATAGGGCTTCCCTGGTGGCGGAGTGGTTGAGAGTCTGCTTGCCGATGCAGGGGACACGGGTTCGTGCCCCAGTCCAGGAAGATCGAACATGCCGCGGAGCGGCTAGGCCCATGAGCCATGGCCGCTGAGCCTGTGCGTCCGGAGCCTGTGTTCCTCAACGGCAGAGGCCACAACAGTGAGAGGCCCGCGTACCGCAAAAAAAAAAAAAAAAAAAAAAAATGAACAGCATAATCAGTCATGGAAGTAAGAAAATATGAAAGCAGAGTAAGGGTACAAAAAGAAGAGAAAGTAGGAAGTTCAAAAGGTTGGTTGGGACCAGCCATGGAGAGGCTAATTCAAGCCTAGGTTTAAGGCATTTGGACTTCATTCTGTAGGGAGGCACCGATTGATTCTTTTCTTTAGGAAGATAATTTTTTAATGAGGTGAAATGCACATAACATAAAATTAACCATCTTTGAAGTGAACAATTTTGTGACATTTAGTACATTCACGATGTTGGCATTGAATGATTTTTAAATAGAGTAAAATGATCAGAAGTGTGCTTCAGAGAGAATAATTGACAGCATTGTGTAAAATGGACTGGATATGGACTGAGAAAAGCAGAAAAAATAATTGAATGCTGGAATCCAGGCAATAGTGGTCTTAATGAGGGTAGCAACAGTAGGAATGGAGAAGAGAGGACAGAGGTGAAAGTTGATAGTAACAAATTGAGAGGAACTGGGTAGGTAGTGAGGTAGAAGAGGAAAAGAATGTGAGGAGAGGGAGAGAGAACATTTGTTCAGGCATGAGGAGTGTAGATTTGGGAATTATCCGTGTGGAAGTGAGTTGAAACGTTAAGATTGAGTGAGATTTCCAAGAGAGGAAAGAGGGCAAAGTAAAGCTATTTGGGAAAACCCGTTATACTTAGTTTTTAAGAGGTGAGAGAAGGAAAACCAGATAGATAAGCATATAAAAACAAAATGGTCAGAAAGAGTTGATATGATGGAAGATAACAGAGGAAGAAATCTAAGAATCTGGTCAAATGCTACAGAGAGATTGAAAAGCAGAAGTGAAAGAGGCCATTGATGTTGATAACTAACTGATCATTGGTCATTTAAAAGAGTTATAGGAACTTAGAAGAAAGAAGTTGGCTAAGAATCTTGTTAGATAATGGCAGGGGGGTGGAGGAGAGAATACTTCATAGTTGGAAGGCCTACTAGATCAAGAGAAGTGTTTTAAGGCCTAGGAAAATTAAAGGCTGAAGGGAAGAACCAAGGGGAGAGGGTGGGATTAACGTTCCAAGAGAGGGAATACTTGATAGTGCAGTCTTGGAGTAATTGGGAAGGATGAAATTAAAGGCACAAATTTGAGATGCTAACTGTTGAAAAGAAGAGATGCTTCCTCTTCTGAGATGGTAGAGAATAGAGAAGCAAAGATTACTATGTAGAGAAATGCTGAAGTGGATATAAGAGACTTTGGGAGTGCTCGCATTAAATGATCTTTGTTTCAGTACAGTATAAGGTTGGGTCACTATCAGAGGTGAGATTGACAGAGACAGGATACGGGGGCCCAGGAGACAGGCTTTTTATCACAACTTTGAAAGGAACTGTGATAAGCACTTCTTTAGTTTTACAATATTGGCGTCATTCATTACACCTTACCATTTTATCAGATGTGGAATGTGGAGTAAGGGGAGGGAGAGGCACACGAATATTTTGAGGGTTTTTGGAAAGCTAGATGGACTTAGTAGGATATTTGATCTTTTCCTTAAATGTCATTTTTAAGAGTAACTGTCTGGAGAATAAGAAAGAGGATACAAGTATAGTTGAATAAGGCATTCTCTGTGCATCTTAAGAGTTAATGAAACCTTATCAGAGGGGCATTTGTTTTGAGTTGAGAGGGGAGGTATAGGTTTAATTTTAAAGTGATTCAGAGTATATTATGTATGTATTAAATAGAAAGTTAACATGTAGCAAGTATTTTTCTATAATTTTTCTATAAAGACCCAGGTGGTAAATATTTTAAGCTTCACAGGCCACATACGGTCTCTGTTAACTATTCTTCTTCCTTATTTTTATAAACCTTAAAAAATTTAACAAATATTTTTAGCTTGCAGACAATACAAAAACAGACCATGGGCCATAGTTTGCTGATCGTGGCATAAAAATAGTAAATCTGAGAAATACTGAAGAGTGGTAGGAATGAGCTCAGGATGGTAAGACTATGGAAAAAGAGCTGGAGAAGCATGATTGGGAACTTCCAACAGTGCAATGTTTGTTTTAAAAATTATTAAATAGTTGTTTTAAAGGTATATTATAATGAAGCAGCTTTTAATGACTTTTTTCTTTTCTTCTTTTTCCAGCTGCCTTTGTGGCAATTTTGCACTGGTAAGATTAGTTTCAGTTTGAAATCAATGAAAACATTTGAATTAAAAATTGCCATTGCTGTTTGCATATAATAAAACAATAACTGCTTGTTACATGTATAGAACATCTGTATGTGCACCAGTTTACATATATATATATATATATATATATATATATAAAACCTTTTTTAAAACCTCATGTGAAGCAACTTTTATAAATGGATGCATTAGGGGAATAGTAACTTATGAATTAAAATATTTTTGCTTTATCAAAGGATTCACCACTATATTTCTTAAATATCTAGCTTTTGTAGTATACTTTTCATGTTTATTTCATGTAGAAAACTTCCTCATTTTATAGTAATTGAGTGTTGTTAGTGACATAAACTTAGAGACAAAGTTTCAGTGACACCTGTCAATTGGAAATCAGGTAGAAATGAAGATAAACACTCTGTGATGGTAATACAGAATTAAATGAACCTTTCAGTATGCATACACCTGCACATAATTTTACACAAATGATATGTTTGTAAAAACTCTATGTAAAATAATATTTTTCCTCTGACATATCTTCATTTCTACCTGAGCTCAAGGATTTCTACTATTGGGAAGAATGGGATCTTCCCCACATCCTGTTGGGACAGTGCTCTTCTGATCATTATTCTGCAGGGAGATTTCGATGTTAGAACTAAGGCTGTAATGGTAAGAAACATTTCCTACAGCTGTTGGTACCGTGGCATGTGTCCTATGTGTAAACGAAGGTGAGTGAAAGACAGGGTTGCTATATGGAATTTTGATTTATTTTTTACTTCATTGGAAAGCATCTACTATGTAAATTAAGGATAGCATAATTGCTGACAATAATTTATTTGTCACATATGCACCTGTTTTCAGTACCTACAGCTGTTTTTTTAAGTTGCATTAATAAAATATCTCAAAGTACAGTCCTGTGTTTTTTGGCACTTTATGTAGTATTATACTTATTTAAAAATTGCTTTAACCTAAAATAATTTTATTTAAAATTATATTCCAAAGCTTTTCAACATTTAGAGGCATTTCCCAAACCTGGTACATTGGAAACACTTGTGAAACCTAACAAACAGACAAAAACATGCTTCTGTTCTGATTTAGAGGCCTGGAGTAGGAGGAAGGGTGATTAGATCTGCAGGAGTTTTAGATACACAATTAAGATTAGGACCCAGGGAGTTAAGGAATTTCAGCTGTGTGCTAATGCTAGCTTATGAATGCCTAAAAATATACAAATTAGCAAGTTACAAAATTATCTCAATATTTATTATAAAAATTTATTCTTTATCTTTTTATGGCTTTCATACTTTGTTTATAATAGTTATTTTAGTGCTGTTTTTGAAACATGTTATTTTTCTTCTAGGATACATTTAATAACACTTTTTGAAAATGATCGTCATTTTTCTCACCTCTCATCCTTGGAACGGGAGATGACTTTTCGCACTGAAATGGTTAGGTTCTTTCTTCTAATGAATTCATTTGTAGTTTAAGAATAGTGAGACTATAACGTGGAAACTTATTAGGAACTGAAATGAATTTTTGGTGAATTGCACTGTTTCTCAAGCTATAGCCTATAGGTTTATTTTATTTTTGCTGTTTTTAAAAAAATTTTTATTGGAATATAGTTGATTTACAATGTTGTGTTAGTTTCAGGTGTACAGCAAACTGATTCAGTTATATGTATACATATATTCATTCTTTTTGAGATTCTTTACCCATGTAGATTATTACAGAATATGAGTAGAGTTCTCTGTGCTATACAGTAGGTCCTTGTTGGTTATCTATTTTATATATAGTAATGTGTGTATGTTAATCCCAGGTTCCTAGTTTATCTCTCCCCACCCCACTTTTCCCCTTAGGTAACCATAGGTTTGTTTTTGAAATCTGGCCTGTAGGTTTATTATTTAAATAATAAAGTGTTTTAGTCCTCACACCATAAACAAAAATAAACTCAAAATGGATTAAAGACCTAAATGTAAGACCTGAAACCATAAAACTCCTAGAAGAGAACATAGGCAGAACACTCTTTGACATAAATTGTAGCAATATTTTTTTTGGATCTGTCTCCTAAGGCAAAAGAAATAAAAGTAAAAATAAACAAATAGAGTCTAGTTAAACCTAAAAGCTTTTGCAAAGCAAAGGAAACCATCCACACAACTTAAAGACAGCCTACTGAATGGGAGAAAATATTTTCAAATGCTATGACTGATAAGGGATTAATATCCAAAATACATAAACAACTCATACAACTCAATATAAAAGAAAAAGTTAAAAAAATTGACAGAAGACCTGAATAGACGTTTTCCAAAGAATACATACAAATGGCTAACAGGCACATGAAAAGATGCTCAACATCACTAATTATTAGAGAAGTGCAAATCAAAACCACAATGAGATATCACCTCACACTTGTCAGACTGGCTGCCATCAAAAAGTGTACAGATAACAAATGTTGCTGAAGATGTGGAGAAAAGGGAACCCGTGTACACTGTTGGTGGGAATGTAAAACAGTGCAGCCATTATGGAGATTCCTCAAAAAACTAAAAATAGGGCTTCCCTGGTGGCGCAGTGGTTGAGAGCCCACCTGCCGATGCAGGTGACACGGGTTCGTGCCCTGGTCCGGGAAGATCCCACATGCCGTGGAGCGGCTGGGCCCGTGAGCCATGGCCGCTGAGCCTGCACGTCTGGAGCCTGTGCTCCACAACGGGAGAGGCCACAACAGTGAGAGGCCCGAAAAAAACACCTAAAAATAGAACTACCATATGATCTGGGAATTCCACTCCTGGGCACATATCCAAAAACAACCAAAAATACTGATTTGAAAAGATACATGCACCCCAATGTTCATGGCAGCATTATTTACAATAGCCACGATATGGAAGCAACCCAAGTGTCCATCAAGAGTTGAATAGATAAAAGAAGATGTAATATATACATATATATGCAGTGGGATATTAACCATAAAAAAGAATGGAATTCTGCCATTTGCAACAACGTGGGTAGTCCTAGAGAGTATTATGCTTAGTGAAATAAGTCAGAGAAAGACAGATACTCTATTTTATCACTTATGTATGGAATCTAAAAAATAAAACATAACAAAAAAAGTGTTTCAGGATTCTTTTTCTTTTACCTCATTCTCCTCCTCTCCTAAGGCAGACTCCTTTTTAAGATAATAAAGATCAATTATAATAGCTGAGAAAGAAGGAAAACAAAGACAAGGTTTAAGAAGTGATACAGGGGGCTTCCCTGGTGGCGCAGTGGTTGAGAGTCTGCCTACCGATGCAGGGGACACGATGCAGGGGACACGGGTTCGTGCCCCAGTCCGGGAAGATCCCACATGCCGCAGAGCGGCTGGGCCCGTGAGCCATGGGCGCTGAGCCTGCATGTCCGGAGCCTGTGCTCCGCAACGGGAGAGGCCACAACAGTGAGAGGCCCGTGTACCGCAAAAAAATAAATAAAGAAGTGTTACAGGGCTACCAAAATGATCAGAAATTGCTTTCTCTTAGGGTGGAGTTGGGAGACCCCATGTTTTATCTGGCTCTTTAAATTTTTTTTTAGCTCTCTTGATTTCAAGATAATTTCTTTTAAGAGACAACTTTTGATATAATGCTTTCTGTTTTTTAGACATCTAACCTATAAAATGGAGATTATCTACCATATGTATTTCACATAATTGTTATGCGGGTTAAATGGTGCCAGAATTGCAGAAATTTACAATTAAGAGAGACCAGGGCTGTCTTCCAGATCAGCTAGTTAGGGGCCAAGAGAAGAATTGAAACTGGCCCTCCTGACTGTTTAGCTACTACTTTTGTTTTTTGGTTTTAATTGTGGCTAAATTTTAATTAAAAAAATTAGCAAAATTTACCATTTCAACTATTTTAAAGTATACAGTTCTGTGGCATTAAATACACTTATATAGTTGTGCAACCATCACCACCATCCATCTCCAGAGTTTTATTATCCCAAACAGACTGTACCTGCTAAACACTTAACTCCCCACTCACACTCACTCCTCACCTAGCTGCTTGGTGACCTCTATTCTACTTCCTGTCTCTATAAATCTGCCTACTCTAGGTATCTCAGCCATTGCTTTTTAAGTCTCACCGTATAGCCACTTATAAAGCTTTGAAGAATTGGGTGTGTTAGCATTTGTATGGCATTTGAATTGTTATTATAGGTATTATTTCCAAAGACAGGATATAAAATATTAAATAAAGAGCATAGCTGTGGCAGAGTCTGGGCTTTGATGACAGATCACTAGATTCAGATAGCAGTTCTGTGCTTTCTTGCGTAATGGCTAGTAAGTTAACTTTGATTCTCAGTCTCATCTGTTAACTGGGAATAATGCCAGCCTTACAGGGTTTTACTGAAAATGAAGGAAGATGAAAATGAATGAAGCACATAGCATAGTACCTGGCCCCAAAATAATAACTGTTATTAATAAAAATTTATATGTTTTCTATTTAAGTATAGACATGCATATTAAATATCTTTTCATTGTAGTATTGCCTTGTTTTTCTCATAAGAAAAGGGAAAGATCCTTATATGAACTTATTTTACTAATCAAAATTATGAGTAAATGCTTTTTCAGACATCAGCTAAAACATCTTTAATTTTTTTATACTTTTTTAAAAAATTATTTATTTATTTTTATTTTTGGCTGTGTTGGGTCTTCATTGCTGCGTGTGGGTTTTCTCTAGTTGCAGAGATCTTCGTTGCAGTGCATGGGCTTCTCATTGCGGTGGCTTCTCTTGTTGTGGAGCATGGGCTCTAGGCGCCCAGGCTTCAGTAGTTGTGGCTCGTTGGCTCTAGAGCGCAGGCTCAGTAGTTTTGGCGCACGGGCTTAGTTGCTCTGTGGCATGTGGGATCTTCCCGGACCAGGGTTTGAACCCGTGTCCCCTGCATTGGCAGGCAGATTCTTAACCACTGCGCCACCAGGGAAGCTCCCCAGATCTTTAATTTTAATAGTCACTAGTGTTGCTTAGTCTATCAAAAATAAAGTACCTATAGTTGTATGAAGCAGGAATGAGTGTGGGGTTGAAAATTGCTTTTAATGTTTTTTGAGGGAGCGTGTATTACAAACTATGTGGCCCTTTATTTTTTAGGAAGGAAAGCAGGAAATTGATGAGGAAGTAATATGAAACAACATGCTTTTGTTAATCTTTGGAATTTAAACAGCACTTTAGTAACCTAATAAAATCATTATTCCACATGCTGGAATAATGCACTAAAGTAATCCTTTTTTTAGGACACAGCATTTGTGTCATGAACAATAGTCGGTTCACATTTAGTTAGCTTTCACTTTGTGCAGAGCCAATAGATGGAACTAGGAAGTAAGATGAAAGCGCAAAGTTGCATCTAATGCTCTTATAGTCACTGTTATTTCTTAAGAGTTGGAGAAGAAGAAGTAATTTTCTCTATGCAAAGTTCTACACGTACAAGGACATGAAGTCATCTCTGTTTGTGCCAGAATCATCAGATCTCAACTTCTAGGCATCTCATAATGTGGGGGTAAAATCAGGCTTGGTAAAATTAAAAATATATTGTTTACATATTTTAAGGTGTGGTTAGAAAAGCTCCTTAAAATGTTTAACCATCCCTTTAACTCTTTTTCAAACCTGCAGAAAATATGAAAGAATATTATAGTGATAACCTGAAAATGTATGCCTTTTTTGCATCCAAGAATGCACTAGCGAGGAGAAATTAGGTAGTCTTATTATCTATCCTTTTCTTTTTTTCAGAGTAAATTGTTCTAAAAAGAGGTATAAAAATAAATATTTTCAAATTTTACTTACATTGACAATTTGTACTTTTTTAAAGGGACTTTATTATTCCTACTTCAAAACCATTATCGAAGCACCTTCATTTTTGGAAGGACTATGGATGATTATGAATGACAAGCTTACTGAATATCCCCTTGCAATTAATACAGTGAAACGCTTCCATCTTTATCCAGAGGTAAGCAGTATTTGGGAACAAATATTTGTAGAGGGATTCTTCTTTATCAGATAAAAATAGTAAGCACAATGATGTTATAGGAAGGAGGGGATTTTAAAGTTTATTGATTGTATGTGTCCTTATAGTTGAGCAGTGTATCAAAAGTTCCTGTCCTAAATTTAAAAGCCCCAGAAATTATGCTCACATGAACTTAAAGGATAGAACCTTAGTATGGAATTAATGACTAGCGTAATAGGCCAAATGGGAAGGAGCCAAGAAGGATTCTCGAGGGAGGTGGTCTGTTGGCTTTATTTTTTTTAAAACCTCAATGTATTATTTTCTAATTCTAGCAAAAATATATCCTGTTAAATTCCTCTTCTTTTCCCCAAGCAAGTCTTGGTGAAAAGCAGTACATGGCTACTGCAGTATTTACAAAGACCATATATTACAAAACATCAGCAGAGAAAACATTGTGGGAAGATATTATTGAAGCATTCTTTAACCAGTATTCATCAAATTACCTACTCCTTGATTTATAAAATGAAATAAATGAATGATTTGATAAAAGTAACATCAGGGCAAAAGCAAAATAGATACAAATATAAGTACAATAGCTTCTTTTTAAAAAGTTTTTATTGGAGTATAGTTGCTTTACAATGTTGTATTAGTTTCTACTGTACAGCAAAGTGAGTCAGCTATACGTATACACGTATCCCTTCTTTTTCGGATTTCCTTCCCATTTAGGTCACCACATAGCACTGCATAGAGTTCCCTGTGCTATACAGTAGGTTCTCATTAGTTATCTATTTTATACATAGTATCAATAGTATATATATCAGTCCCAACCTCCCAATTCATCCCACCCACCCTTTTCCCCCTTGGTCTCCATACATTTGTCCTCTACATCTGTGTCTCTTTTTCTGCTTTGTAAATAAGATTGTCTATACCAATATTTTCAGATTCCACATATATGCATTAATATACAATATTCGTTTTTCTCTCTCTGACTTGCTTCACTCTGTATGACAGTCTCTAGATCCATCCATGTCTCTACAAATGACCCAATTCGTTCCTTTTTATGGCTGAGTAATATTCCATTGTACATATGTACCACATCTTCTTTATCCATTCATCTGTTGATGGACACCTAGGTTGCTTCCACGTCCTGACTATTGTAAATAGTGCTGCAGTGAGCATTGTGGTGCATGACTCTTTTTGAATTACGGTTTTCTCAGGGTATATGCCCAGTAGTGAGATTGCTGGGTCATATGGTAGTTCTATTTTTAGTTCTTTAAGGAGCCTCCATACTGTTCTCCATAGTGGCTGTATCAATTTACATTCCCACCAACAGTGTGAGAGGGTTCCCTTTTCTCCACACCTTCTCCAGCATTTACTGTTTGTAGATTTTTTCATGATGGCCATTCTGACTGGTGTGAGGTGATATCTCATTGTAGTTTTGATTTGCATTTTCTAATAATTAGTGATGTTGAGCATTTTTTCATGTGTTTGTTGGCCATCTGTATGTCTTCTTTGGAGAAATGTCTATTTAGGCCTCCAGCCCATTTTTTTGATTGGGTTGTTTGTTGTTTAATATTGAGCTGCATGAACTGTTTGTATATTTTGGAGATTAATCCTTTGTCCGTTGCATCTGTTGGCTTTAGAGACTGTGTAGATGGGCATACTGATCACATGAAGGGACAATGACAGTGATGAGTAGAATAGTGACCTTGGGGATACATTAATAAGGCAAGATTTATTTAGTTATATAGCTAGAGATCTATGAATACTTCCCAATACTAAAAAAAGTATGAACTTTATGATAGTCTTCAAATTCTAGAAATTGGAAAAAAGAAGAAAAAAAATAGTAGATTCAGTTTGTGAACTCTGAAGATAAATGCTGACTTGACAGCATGGTAAGAACTACTTTTGAGTTATCTCAGAATCCAGCAGATTAGTTAAAAAGTCTAGCTTTTTATTTCTTCATATTTTATAGCTTTTAAAAATTATGATTTTGATTTTAAAATGTTTAAAATTGCAGAAGCTAGAGAATAATGTGCAAATATGTGTGGTCAACCACCTACAATAAATAAATGCTATTCTTTTATCGTTTTTGCTTCTGATATTTTAAAATAAAGCATTATAAATACAGTTAAAGTCATCTTTGTTCTGCTTCCCAGTTAAGTTTGTTCCTTTCCCATTCTCACAAGCATCATTATCGTGAATTTGATGTGTATATCCATCCAGTTCTTTTTTCAAGGATTGTTTTATGTGTTTTTGTAATTTCACATAAGTGTTCTCATACTGAACATATCACTCCACAACTTTTTCCTCAGTATTTTATTTTGGAATTTTTGAAAATGTATGTACATATTTATTTTTCTTTAATTTTAACCATTTTATGAATTCCAAAATTATTTGTATATTTCCCTATTATGGATATTAAATTATTTCCAGTTTTTAAATTACAGATGTAAACCATATAATCCAGCAGTTGTACTCCAGGACATTTATCCCAGAGAAATTAAAATTTATATTCACACAAAAACCTGTACACATTTATTGTAGCTTTATACATTGTAGCACAAAACTGCAAACAACACAGATGTCCTTTGACATGTGAATGGTTAAAGAAACTGTGGTACACTCATACCAGGAATACAATTCAGCAATAAAAAAGGAACAAACCATAAGAAACTGCCAAACTGTTTTCCAGAGTGGTTATGCAATTTTACATTTCTACCAGGAATGTATAAGTGATTCACTTTCTCCACAGGGTCTCCAGCATTTGGTGTTGTCACTACTTTTTATTTTAATGATTCTGATTTATCAGAATGTAGTGATTTATCATTGTGGTTTTAATGTGCATTTCCCTAATGACTAATGTTGTTGAACGCTCCTTTTTTGTGTTTATTAGCTATCTATATACCCTGTTCAGTGAAATGTGTCTTCATGTCTTTTGCTAATTTTCTAATTGGGTTTTTTTTTTAATGTTGAATCTTAGGATGTTCTTTATATATTCTAGGTACTACTTCTTTGCCAGGTATGTGGTTTGCAAATATTTTCTCCCAGTCTATACCTTGTTTTTTCATCCTCTTAAGTAGAGTCTTTTGCATAAGACAATTTTTAAATTTTAATGGAGTCCAGTTTAGCAATTTTTCTTCTTGTGGATTGTGCTTTTGGTGTCAAGTCTAAGAATTCTTTGCCTAGCCCTAGATGCTAAATATTTTCTATGTTTTTCTCTAAAAGCAATTAGAATTCTATCTGTGATCCATTTCATTTTGAATTAATTTCTTTATGTGACGTGAGACTTGGGTAAAGGTTATGTTGTTGTTGTTTTTTACCTATAGATGTCCAGTAGTTTCCATACCACTTGCTGAAAGGGCTATCTTTTCTTCATTGAATTGCTTTTGCACCTATGTGACAATAAATTAGGCATATTTCTATGGGTTTATTTCTGGGTTCCCTGCTCTCTTCCATTGATTTATGTGTCTGTCCCTCTGCCAGTACCATATAGTCTTGATTAATGTACCTATACAGTAAGTCTTGGATTAGGTAAACTGATTTCTCTCACTTCATTCTTTTTCAAAATTGGTTTAGCTAGTTCATGTGCCTTTTAATGTGTATTTAACAATAATGTTTTCTATATCTAATTCTATTGATACTTTAATAAGAATTACATTAAACATGTAAATAAATTTGAGGAGAATTGACCTCTTTGCTATTGAGTCTTCTAATTCATGAACATGGTGTGTCGCTTGTTTATTTAGGTATTCTTTGGTTTCTTTCAAAAGCATTGTGTAGTTTTCAGCATACGAGTCTTGTATGTGTTTTGATAAATATACACCTAAGTATTTCATGTTTTTTTAAATGATGATAAAGGGGATTATATTTTTAATATTGATGCCCACATGTTCATTGTTACATGGAAATACAGTTGATTTTTTTGGTATGTTTATCTTCTACTCTGCAATCTTGCTGAATTCAATTATTAGTTCTAGGAGTATTTTTTTTTTTTTACACATATGTTGGGATTTTCTACATAGTGAGGCATTTAATATGCAAATAGAGTATTATTTTTTTCTTTTAATCTGTATGTCTGTTATTTCTCTTATTTACCTTATTGCACTGGCTAGAACTTTCAGTACTATTTTTTTTATATGTGTTGTGAGTGGGCACATACCCACATTTTTGTTTTTTTTTTTTTTTTTTGGTACGCGGGCCTCTCACTGTAGTGGCCTCTCCCATTGTGGAGCACAGGCTCCGGACGCACAGGCTCAGCAGCCATGGCTCACGGGCCCAGCCGCTCTGCGGCATGTGGGATCTTCCCAGACCGGGGCATGAACCCGTGTCCCCTGCATCGGCAGGCGGACTCTCAACTGCTGCGCCACCAGGGAAGCCCCAGGCCTCATTCTTGATCTTGGGGAGAAAGCATTCAGTCTCAAACCATTAAGTATAAAGTTAGCTGTAAGTTTTTTTGCACATGACCTTTGTAAGATTGAGGTAGTTCCTCTCTTATTCCTAGTTTTTTCTGTAAGTTCTCATCAGAATGGGTATTGAATTTTTTCTAATGCTTTTTCTGCACCAATTGATATGATCATGGAATTTATCTTCTTTGTTCCATTAATATGATGGGGTACATTCATTTTTTCATACTGAAATAGTCTTGCATCCCAGAATAAACCCCATCTGATCATGGCATATAATTATTTTAATATATTGCTGAAATCTATTTACTAATATTTTGTTAGGGTTTGTTACGTCTATCTTTATAAGGGGTATTAGTATGTGGTTTAATTTTTTGGTACTTTCTTCGTTGGTTTTGGTATCAAGTATCAAAATATCTTTAACTCCAAACCTGAGAAAATAAAGCAAAGGGAAAGTCCAGGGAACCTATTACCATGTCATTCCTTGGGCCCTGACATTCCTATCTAGTTTGCCTCTTTTCTCTACCTTTAAGGGTCTTCTTGTGTTTGATTTATATTATTCACAGCAGTTCTAGTTATACTTGTAGGAATAGGAAATTTACATTATTTAAATACTGACTTTTTTTTCATTTTCATTTAGTTTAAGTGATTTTCTAATTTCCCATGTGATTTCTCCTTTGATCCATTGGATACTTAAATATTGTTATTTAATTTCAGAGTACTTAAGGGTTTCCCAAATTTCTTTCTTTTTTTCTTTTAATTTCTATAAGTACTTTTCAATGTAATTTGTAGTAGTAACAATTGTATAGTATAGACCTACCTAAGATCTAAGATGAAAGAAGCAGTTTTCTGCAGCAGCTTTCTCTATATCCCGGCTTACTTTTCAAAGGCAGTCTGACCATATTTCCTCTAATGATTATCTGTCTAATTCTAGGGTAAATGGAAAAATCAAAAAGAAAAAAAAACCTATTTGTTGAATCTTCAACTTTAGTTAACATTCACTTACTCTGTGTATATAAGATAAGGACTTAGCTTATTAGACTAGGCCCATTTTTTCCAGTGTTTGATAAGTATTATTTTTAGTTTTTGATTACTTTTGGAACTTTTTGTCATTACATCTCTGTTTCTTGTTCCACTAGTTTCCAACAGTATGGTCTCTAAAACATTAGCTAATTTTTTTCTTTTTACTTATTAAAATATTTATTGAATAATTTGCACAGTTTTCAGCTTCTTTGACGCTTTGAAAAAGTAATCATGATAATGTAGTTCATTTGTTTTCAAAACTTGAAAGCATGTAAATGACAGGCAACAAGGACTCGTCCAGTCTTATTTTCATATTGCATAGATACAATATGCAGATTTACATTTGCTTGCGACCTTATATAGTACTTAAGTGTTGAAGTAAATGTCCATACTTTGTGTTCACAAGATTAATTTCTCATCTAAAGATGAGATTAATTTCTCACCTAAAAGTGTAAGTTTGAAACAATGTATTTTGAAAAGACAAAAGCATTTAATGCTTACTATATGCCAGTACTTATATATATAAGCTCTAATCTCCAATCACTCTTGTAAGATGGTTATTATTGATATTAACCTCATTTTACAGATGAGGTGACTGAGGTTCAGAGGTTGAAGGATTACTTCACACCGTAGAAACCATACCTTGCAGAGTCAGAATTTTTTGTTCTATTTTGACTTCAAAGTCATGCTTTTCTACTATATTAAACGACATCTCAGAAAGGAGTATAATTCTAGAATTTGCACATACATTTAATGTGGAAATTTTTTGTACATGTATGAAAAATACACAAGAATAGAAGTTATAAATTTAAACAGAATGTCATCTTATAAAATTAAGTGATAAAATCGTAAATAATATTATATATGAAAAGATGTTTATGACATTGTTTAGTGATGTATATTACATTAACATCTTATAATACATAATATTACATAATGAATAACTCTAGCTACATGTTTCTTATGCCTAGGGAGAGACTGGAAGGATGGTCACCAAAATAGTAAAAGTAGTTAGTTCTAGGTTATTTTTAGTTTCCCTTTGAACTCCTCTTTACTTTTTTTTAACTTTTTTCCCCAATGATTTTGCATTATTTTTCCCAAATCTATAAAATTATTTATTAAAAAATCTCCCAGGCATGAGCATTTTGTCTGTAATTTTTTTGTTGCTATTTTCCCTTGTCTTTAAACTTTTTAAAGTAGATTTCAGGTTGGAAAGTACTGGTTAATTAAATCTGCTTGGTCAGAGTTTTAATGGGCACAGGAGCTGTTATTCCATGTGCAGTTGGTTTTATAGACTATGAGTTGGTTTTTAGACTATGAAGAAAATAATTTCAAGGACCTAAGGGAAATGTTACAAAATACTTCTGTAAATCTTTGTACTTTGCTATTAATTATCATAATTATGTACTTCATGCTTGATTTTACAGCTACTATTAATTATGTTAGAGTTGATTACAAGAGTATATTACAGAGATGTTGATCACAACATAAATTTTGTAGATGTGCATTACTCAGTAATACATAACTTTAGTTGATTGAGTGTATAAAATTTTAAATGATTGTTTCCCACATGAAATGATTTAAATAAATTCATCAAAGTTTATAATGTTAAAGGCAACCATCATAAAATGGTATTTTGGAAAAATTATTATTAAGAAGATATTGAATTTTTCTTTATTATCTTTTTGATTTTATCTTTTGTAGGTGATTATAGCCTTCTGGTATCGCACATTTATGGGAATAATGAATTTATTTGGGCTGGAAACAAAGACCTGCTGGAATGTGACCAGAGTAGAACCTCTAAATGAAGTTCAAAGCTGTGAAGGCATGTTTCTTCCTAAAATGCTGTTGTATTGTCATTAATGTTTACATAAACGTAATGTTATGACTCCTTTAAGAATTACTATAAACTACTGTGATTTTTTTCTTTAAAAACAGTCTAGAACTGATTCACCTAAAAGTGTATTTACCCTTTAATTTTCTGAGAAGACAATATACTTGCTAATAAGAGTATTAATTTGGAATTTAATTTGAGTATTAATATGCTCCAGTGTAAGGCCACACTGATTGTAAGTCATTCCTCCATTTCAGAAGGTACAAAAAAAGCTCTGGGGTGGCTTGAATATATAAATTTGGGGGATGTAGATTAAATAGTCACAGTTCTACCTGTAATAGTTAACGTAAATAGTTAATGTAAAAATTTAGTTATGCATAAATATTTAAAAATCAGATATATAATAGATTACTTTAGAAATTCTGCTGTTTTTGTGCTCCCACAGTCCATGAATAGTTCTAATCAAACTCTTCATATACATCTTCTACATCAGTATCTTTGTCAAAGAACTGCTTTTCGAATCATCTAACAGTTTTCCAGAATCTGTGATTGTCACTTCCATTTAAGATGTTTGCAGTTTAGCACTGTTACAATCTTAGCATGATGCTGTTCCTTGAAACTCTTATTTGAAATCACATGTATCTACTTGCATAACACATAGTTGTTTTTTCTTTATTTCTTCATATTCTCTAGAACATTATGTTTTATAAATATATTTTTGTTGACTTGTGTATAGTAACATACAGTTCTCAGAATATATCCTAAATTTGTATTTCCATGTTTCCCTTACATTTTTACTGATTCCCTCAGATGGTCTTTATAACCATGGTCTAAAGCAGCATTGGTAGAAGATATTTGAGGGCAATTAGACTTTTTTTTTTTTGTACAAACTAAAGGAATTGAGCGACTGCCTGAACCAGCTTATAAGGTATAAACTTTTCTGAGGGATGGGAAAAAATCACCTTATATATGTACATATATGGTATTTATTAAGTTGCCACTAAGTTATAGGTTAGTGTTGGCACTTGGGACCCCAAGATAAACTGGGTAAACATGGGGCCTTACCCTCATAGAGTTTGCAACATAAGAGGGATGTTAGTGGTTACAACTGTGGTGGATGTTACAAATAGGAAAGTAAGATTGCTGAGGTTAGGAGAAGTGTTTCAAGAATAGGAACCAGCATTTTCCAAAGTCCTGAGGCAAGGGAGAACTGAAAGAAAGCTAGACTTCCTAGAGCAGAGAGATAGAGAAGAAAACATGGTGTTAAATGATGCTTAGAATGTAAGCAAGGGTCCGATAATGAAGGACCATTTACTAGTTAAGGATTTTATGTGTATTCATTGAAGACTTTTGACAGATTTTAATTTTCAAAACACAATTTTGGCAGTTACATGGAAAAGACACTAGTAAAGGACAAAAGTGAATTCAGTGAGGCCAGGTAGGAAACTATTTTGCTCTCAGCAAGTGATTGCAGGAAAGGTAACTGGAAAATGAATGGATTTGAGAGATAGCTGGAAGGAGAAACGACAAGATTTGGTAATTGTTTGATGGGGAAGGGGAAGGAGAATGCATTTATGTAACACTGTTGGGTTTCTGGCTTAACTGAGTCCCTCCATTCAAAGTGGTAAGAAACATTTTTAAAAGTAGCAGGTTTGAATTGCTATTAATTCGAGGTACCTGAGAAACCCCAAAGGGTAGATGTCAAGTGGCTACCTGCGTATACATACCTACAGGAATAAGAAGAAAGTTCTCATCTGAAGGTAGACTTGGAGTCATCTGTATATAGATGATAATTGGAACCATGGAACTGGAAGAATTTCTTTAAGGGGAATATACAGACTGAGAAAAGAAGAAGGTATATGACAGAGCCTAAGGTGGTCCAACATTGAAGGGGGGGGTGTAAAAGGATGAGAAGTTACTAGGACAGACTGAAAAGGAATGATCAGAGAAGAAGAAGAAATCAGAAAGGCCAGCCTTTAGATCCTGGCTCCACCAGTTACAGCTAAATAACTTTTGGCAAGTTACTTAAGTTTTCTGTGTTGTTTTCTCAACCATTAAAAAACGTATTTTCATACCAAGTAATTTCAAAGATTTGTTCTGAGTATTATGTGAGATGATGATTGCAAAGTACCTAGTAGATTATGTGTGTGTGTTAATATATATATATATACATATATATATATATATATGTATTGTCTTATACACAGGATATATTAAGTATTAAGGTCCTGGCTATACATGATAATGGATCAGTTTATCCCATACAGACTAAAGCTGCTCCTTGAAGTCAGGGGCCGTATTTTACTCATCCTAGAGCCTAGCAAAAGATAAAATTAATGCAATGGATTTTCGCTTGTAATTTATCAAATGGCTCTACAGACAGTTCTAGATACGGAACAATAGCAGCATCACCTAAATAAAATGAAGCACCAACTAATCATTACACTATAACAACACTTCAATAAGGAAAAGTATAAATGTAACTAATAATGCCTCATGGATGGGGAAAGTACTAATGTAACTATTAAATAGAACAGCAGTCTGAGCAGCAAAGCTTTCAGCAAATTCACTAGCTCTTGATTACAAAGCATTGAGATAATTATGCCCAATTACTGTATAGTAATTTATTCATTAAATACTGAATAATCTGTGTCTTTTTAAAGGATTGGGAGACCCTGCTTGCTTTTATGTTGGTGTGATTTTTATTTTAAATGGAATAATGATGGGATTCTTCTTCATATATGGTACATACTTGAGGTAAGACTACTGTATTAAAAGATCTTTCAGTGGGATAATAAGGACTTTCTGACATTTGTTGATTAAATTAAAAGGATAGGGCTTCCCTGGTGGCGCAGTGGTTGAGAGTCCACCTGCCGATGCAGGGGACACGGGTTCGGGACACGGGTTCATGCCCCAGTCCGGGAAGATCCCACATGCCGCGGAGTGGCTGGGCCCGTGAGCCATGGCCGCTGAGCCTGTGTGTCCGGAGCCTGTGCTCCGCAACGGGAGAGGACACAACAGTGAGAGGCCCGCGTACAAAAATAATTAATTAATTAATTAATTAAAAGGATAAATAACAAGATTAATTGACTAATAGTAGGAAACGTTTAGATTTTATTTTTTTCAGAAGCTGAGCCAAATATGCAGCCAAAAGCTAGAGCTGTCACTAAAACAATATCTTAAAGGCCTGTCTTTTATCCTTATGGGGGTATTTTTTAAGCTTATTAAGATTCCTGAACAAAGATTTTAATGAAAATACCTCTAGATCATGTGTAAAATTATTATAACATTAGAGGGAATCTTTGGTTGGCATTAGTAGCAAAGTATTAATATTTCTAATTTTCATCTCTGTACATGTGAAATTAAGAAAGCAGTAAAAGAAAATGTATATCACTTGTAGCAGACACTTACATTTGATAGCCTATCTTTCTTGATAACAGCACCACAATTTTGTTTGGGGTAGCAGGGTGCCCAATTTCAGGTGATAGGTTGAAGTTAACTATGACCATTGTGTATTCTGCTTCCCACTCTCCACTGCATGTTGGGAGAGCCATATGAGCTAGCTTTTCTGGTGAAAAAGGAAGTGAAATCAGACTTGGTTACACCAGGAAAGCATTTGCCTTTACAACAAAAGGTTAGATTCAGCTGCAGCTTTTCTGTTATTTTCCTGCTTTTACCTGGATGTGATACCTGGAGCTATTGCAGTCATTTTGTGATCATGAGGAAAAGGCCATAAACATAGCACATACGTCTGCCTTTTTTTTTTTTTTTTTGCGGTATGTGGGCCTCTCACAAACCCTGCAGTTCCTCTATTCCTGTGCTTTCGAAAGATTCTATAGTCTTTTGAGAATCTTTCACTTACATATTAGCCATAAACCATACTTGTTTTATTGTTTTTGTTTTTGTTTTTTGTGGTACGCGAGCTCTCACTGTTGTGGTTTCTCCCGTTGCGGAGCACAGGCTCCGGACGCGCAGGCTCAACAGCCATGGCTCACGGGCCCAGCCGCTCCGCGGCATGTGGGATCCTCCCAGACCGGGGCACGAACCCGTGTCCCCTGCATCGGCAGGTGGACCCTCAACCACTGCGCCACCAGGGAAGCCCTCATATGTCTGCCTTAACATCCTTCTGCTGCTGAACCAATGCCAACAGACACTTATCTTATTTTCTTGTTGAATGATATAATAAGCATCCATATTATTTAAGACACTTCTGTCAGATTTTGTTTTTGACAACAGAGTACATTTTTAACTGAATCATCAGATTTCTTTACAATGTTATTCTTGAACTGTGCAACATTAAAAGTGAAAAATCTAGATTTAATCTTTCAACAATTACTGAGTTTTCATAAGGTTTATGTTTCTATAGAGATTAATATATATATACCCCTTGTTTTTGGAAGTTTTCAGCATAAAAATCCTAGCAGAGAATCAGTGAAAAATTGTGATCTTGATAAAATTGTTGGCCTTGATAAGCTGATTTTAAAATTATTCAGAAATGCACAGGGCCTAAAATAGTTGAGACAATCCTGAAGGAAATGTGAGAACTTGCTTCATTAATTATTTCTGTATTATAAAGCTAATGTAAATAAGACAATGTGATATTGACATAGAGATAGACAAATAGATCACTGGAATAAAGTAGAATCCAGAAGCAGAAATGTACATTGATATACACCTGGTATATGACAAAGTGGATATTACAGATCAATAAGTAAGGATAGGCTTCTCAATAAATGGTGCTGAAATAATGGGGAGATCATATGGAACAAAGCAGAGTCAGAACTTATGAAAAACAAATACTAGTTGGATTAAAAACTCAAATGTGATAGACAAAATTATAAAATGTTTAAAATGTTATATAGAAGATTATCATCAGTAACTTGGGGGTAAGAAAGGATTTCTTAAACAAGGTACAAAAGTCCAGCCATGAAGAAAAAAACGGATAAATTTGATGAAAAGAATTTAAGTTCCTCAAGATATAATAGAATGAAAAGATAAGCCACAAGCTGGGAAAAGATACTGCAAAGCATGTACGCAATGTGGTATCCAGACTTACATTCATTAATTTGACAAATATTTATTGAATGCCTACTGTGACTGGGAGCACTATTCTAGGTGCTAGGAAAACAAAACAAACAATCCCTGTCCTCATGGAATTTATATTCTAGGGGATAGACAAAGACTAAGAAGATAGACCACCCAACTGAAAATCGGACAAAATATTTATGAATAGACATTTCCCAGAAGAATTCCAGATTGCCAATAAACATGTAAAATTGACCACCATCATTAATTATGGGGAAAAGACTAATTTAAACCACAATGAGATACCATTTCACACCTACTAGATTTACAAAGGCAACTTTTAACCCTGGTGGGTGGATATATAAATTAGTACAGCTATTTTGGAAAAACGGTGTGCATTATCTAGTAATTTGAAGATACAGGTACCTTATAACTCAGCAATTCCAATTTAAAGTAAATATGCCTAAGAAACTCTTTTATGTACTCCAGAAAATATATACAAGAACATAGCAGCATTGTTTGTAGTAGCTCCAAACTAGAAACAACTTAAATGTCCTTCAGCAGAGAAGTGTACACATTGTAGGTTTATTAATACAGTGAAATACTGTACAACAATGATAATGAACTATAGCTACAAACATCAATGTGGAAAAGTCTTACAAATATAATGTTGAATGAATCAAGGCATGCACAAAATTTAAAAATACTGCATACTTATATTTGTATAAAGTTTAAACACAGATTAAATGATAGTATGATATGTATATAGAAGCAGTTATATTGGTAATCACAAAACTCAGGATAGTGGCTGTCTTAAGAGGTGGCAAGTGAGGTCTCAGGGTGTGATCAGTTTTCTGTTTCAATGATATATGGTAGTTACAAGAATATCCACTTTATAAGTGTTCTATAAGCTATCTAGAAATTTTTATGTACTTTTCTATATGTGTGTCACATAGGAAAAATATATAAGCTCATCAGTATTTTGAGGGAAAGGATTACTTTTAGATTATATTAACAGGCTTTAAATTGTTCTAGTTTAAAAAATACTTTATTTATTACGCTTTTTTCAAATATGGAAAACGTTACACGAGACTAAGACATTTTAAAAGTTAATACTTTTCATTGGGAGAGCTACCCAAAAGGTGAAAGTCTTCTCTAAATTGGTTACACAGTTCTAGAATATCAAATACATTATTAGCCTCCAGTCTTTAAGAAGGATATGTAGATATAACATATGTTGGCTATGAAAGTGTCACCAAAACTGTGAGGAGATTAGAAACTATGGCATATGAGAATATGAGAAACAAAAGAAATAGGGATTTGGGGAAATTTTTCTATTTCTTACCTTGGCCACCCTTCCGCACTGGCACTAACTTGGAAGGTAGATATTCCATTTCTGTTCTTTTGGTGGTTAATGATAAAATGTTAACATGCATATCTAACTTGATCAAGTCTAAAATTAATTGATATCTTTCCTCTTCTTTTTGATCAGTACAAGGAATTTCAGAACACTTTACTTCAAAACAGCCCCTAGCATCTTGTAATTATTACCATAATTTAGTACTTCTAGTACCCCTCCACAGCAGTCATCACTGTTATTTTTTGTTGTCAAATCTTCCTTAGATTTATCCACATGTTCCTAGTTTCTATATGCAGCATTTGTTCTTGCTTCTCACACCTTCCTCCTTTCAATTTCTTCTTTTCTGATGTGCGTCCTTTGAATTTCCCTTAGTGAAAACTGTTAAAGGTAAATTACTTCCCATTGGCTTTCCTCTGCTTGTTTTGTTAAACTCATTCCTTCCTTTTTTCAATCATTCAACCAGTATTTATTGTCTTCCGAGTCTGAAGCTGTGTATATAATGATGAACAATACTTTAAAGAAAAGGCAACTTTAAGATGTGGTTTTTAATCTTTGATAATAATCAGCCATCCTTGATCTCAGTTTTGTATTCTACATTGTTGTTTCTTGGGACTCAACAAAAGAATATTTGCAGTAGTTTAGATGGTTCAGTTACCGCTAAGTGAAACTGTTAGACTCTTCATCTCTCAGTCACTGAAATCCAATTTGGAATGACAAAAATTTGCCTCCACTCAGAATATTCAAAGAATGCAGTATAAACTCTGAAGTGCTGGCCTGTTTGTTAAAAATTATTTTATGTTCACATATAATATTTTACATAGAAAATATTTTAAATATAAAATTAATGACATTCAGTTTACTTTGTATGTACACTTTGTATGCTTTTACATTCAAGAATAAAACATCAACTACATGGGTACTTTTGAAATTTTTACTGTTATTTTATATGGTTTAGTACTATGACATTTTAAAAATCTAAGATAATTTTGTGAAAAACTCACTATATTTTACATGAATTTTGATTATATACATTTTTTTTACAGTGGGACTCACCTTGGAGGTCTAATTACAGTATTATGCTACTTTTTCAACCATGGAGAGGTTTGTTTTCTAGAAAATAATTTGTAGAAATAGAAGGGGTGGCATAGGAACAAGGAAACTTATTCATCAAAACAGTGTTTAATTGTATATTACTTAGGACTTGACAGTATTTTAAAGAACTTTGTGTTGTAAGTTGATGTTTTAATCATGTTGATCCACATTTTTACATAATAATTAGAATTTATGGTGTGAGCTATCTTGCCTGGTTTTAGAATGTATATATGTTACATATATTTTATAGAAAAAGGAAGTACTATATTAGTTGAGTTTAGGCACTTTATGTACATTATCTCACTCCCACCAAACTTTTTAGGGAGGTGGCTGTTATCCTCACAGTAGAAGATATGAAATTGAAATTTGGAGAGGATAAGTTACGTACTCAAGATTCCACATTCACGCCATGATGAAACTGGGTTTCCTCTTCTACATCTTTCTGGCTCTAAAACCTCACTTCTTTCTGTTACATCATGCTGCCTTTTTAAACAAAATGCTGAATTCAAAATACAAATTAACTTAATAACTCAGCCCAATAAGACATGGTCCACCTAAAAAGAGTTCATGGAAACTTATTAGAATATGATAGATTCATTCAACAAAATATCAAGTACAAAACGTGTGCCAGAGTCCGTGTTAGATGCTGAGGATATGGCCAAGAAAAGTGGAAGAATCTGACTGCTAGTTTTTGGAAGCAAAATATGTAATATGTTATGGCACAGATTATATAGGGTAGAAGTCTCTATCCATTACTATTGGGAAAGGTAGATACTTGGTTAATTTTAAAAAATCAGTTAGACAAGAGAATCATAAAAATTATACATAAGTATCTTAAATATATTAACTTAAAGCAAACAAATACATTGTCAGTCACCAGTGTATTAGTATAAACACAAGACCTTTTCTTTGAGTATGCCAGATGACTGACACTATGAGTTGACCTTCTTATACATACCGTAACTCACCTTCCGAGGTTTACGATTTTGGTTTCCTGGAAGAAGAGCAATAAATTTTAAGACTCTTGCAAAGTTGTAAGAGTTTAGATTCTTTCTAGAATTTCAGAATTCTTGATATAAAATTTTATAATATTCCCACCCATATGTTTTGGAAATAGTTTTAAAGTCTATATGAAAATTTAATTAATACTTTCCTTGTATACATCATATCAGTGAATCCCAAATACTTCTAGTTGTTTTTAGAAATTTATAGTTAACTCTTTCAAAGGTATATTTCACAAATTCAGAGACAGTCTTAATTACTTGTAGTGGGTGTCTATACACATTAAACTTGTCATGTGTAAACATTTGGTGTTTGTGAATGCCCTAGGTAACATTTGTTTAGATATTTTTCTGAGCATGTATAAATCCCAAAGCCCTGGGATGCCCAGGGTCATCACTGAAGAGCTGGAATGTGGATCTGGTTTGTCTTTCCCAGAATTCTCACTGCTCCTAACCCTATCACCTTGTTTGTCCTTCGAGTGTCCTTATGTTTGGCCTGATCTATCTTTCACTTGTTTCTGGACTTGCTAGTTAATGGCTCTCTACCTAATGGCTATGTGCTGTAAGAGAACTCCAAAAACTGAGGAGCTATACCAGGTATCCAGAAATAAATGAGCCTAGTATTAAAATTACTAAAACCAGCCCACCCATGATTTTTTAAATTAATTGTGTTTATTGCAATGGAACATAGAGTGAGGTAAGATTTTATTGATTTCAGGCTACTCGGGTGATGTGGACACCACCTCTCCGGGAAAGTTTTTCATATCCATTTCTTGTACTTCAGATGTACATCTTAACTGTGATTCTCAGGTAATTTTTATTTATAAAACGAAACTAGCTAAATTGTAAGTTTCTCAAAATTACTTCAACCTATCGTTATAATTACTAAATTTAGACTCTATTTTAAAAAATTACTTCAAAAATAAATTGTGTGTCCAGTTTAAAAAGAATCTAAAATTGCTATGTAAAAAATCGTTTTCCACTTAAGAGTCTAGGCTACAGGTTTTACATAACTATGTTTTAATAAACCAATATGTATGTGTTCATATATATTTGGTAAAGATGCAAAGGTTTTTGAGAAAGTATTACTTTTTTCCCTCAATGCTTATGTACTCTGACTCATTGTTGTCCATCCTGTGGTTTTGATGAAGCATGAAAAAAAAAGTGTTCTATGCACAAATAAATTTGGGAAATGCTAGATTGGATAGATAAGGAGTATCTACATTCATATGTTTATGACTATATCGGAACTACAGATGTTTCTAGAAACTCAGCCAAAGTTTCATCTCAACTGTTTTTCCTGGACACATTTTTTGGTTGGGATTAATTTTATAAGCATTTCAGAAATTTTAAAAGTCTGAGGAACAACAACAAAAACATAAATAGTAGAATACTATAAATAACTTTACCATAGAGATAGGTTCATAGAATGTTCATGAGATCTTTTATTGAGAGAGTGATCACTGTCCCCTCCAAACTCCCAGAGAAACTCGTAGTTCACTTACTAGTACCCATCAGATTTTGCCTATATTAAGATCATTTGTGTACATGTCTTCTTTCTTTCTTAAAACTGTAAATTTGTTAATAAAGCATACATACACAAATGTCTAAACATACACTTAATGTATTAAAATGCCACTGGAAACAGAGACCGTGCCACATTTATCTCTTTAACCATGGAGCACTTAGCACACTGCCATGTAGACATTTAAGGCCCTTATATGTTAGCTTAAGGAAGGTAAATAAAGGCATACTGGCATGACTACCAACCTCTAGAAAGGTACAGACTACCTTGTGGTTTGTTAACCTACATGAAAGTTTATTTTTGGATTGAATATGGATTTGGGAATCTGATCCTTATCCGGATTTCTATATCTTTGCTCTAAACCTTATCTTCTCTCAAAGATTATGGTAGAGGAAGCTGCCTATTTATCCCCACTCATTCCCAGTTAAATTTCTAGAAAGATGGTTTATTTTCCATTTTTATTTTTTGAAGTGATATTAGTCTAACCAATCAGAGAGTTCATGGAATTAAATATGTTAATTAGAACATTTAGAATTGTATCCTTGAGTGCATGTGTTATACTCCATTCCTTAGCCAAAAGTAATTTTTATTTTATAAATATAACTGAGTACTTAGTGAATATATTTTGTGATAATATTATTAAACAATATGATCATTAAAAATTTTGCTTTTGAAAATGTATATACCACAGTACAAGAATTTATGGAAATCCAATACAACCTTTATAAAAAGAAGAGTTACAGTTTTATAATTTACACAAAATACGTGCATTTCTTTTTTTCATATTCTAAAAGGTAGTAAAATCTGTGTGGTAAAAGGTATTGGTTACTGATAAATCTCATGATTGCAGAATGGACGGTTTAAACTTCAATATGCATTAGTTTAACTGTATTCCAGAATTATTTCTTTAAAGTCATTGTTTAAAATCTCTTTAAGTTTTTCTCATAGTCGTTAGCTTATTATTTCACCAGCACTTATACTTTTCTTCATTGCTTTTTGAAACATAAAAGTGGTGGTATATGAAAGTTATTGCTGCTCATGTAGTATAAATATCTCGAGGTATGCAAGGTCAGTTCAGATTCTATTTTCTGACATTCTTGCTGGAGTATTAAATTTCTAATGTCATGCATAGTTAAAGAAAAATAAATTTTTAGTTGAATATAGTTGATTTACAATATTTTATTAGTTTCAGGTATACAGAATAGTGATTCATTATTTTTACAGATTATATACTCCATTAAAAGTTTACAAAATAATGACTTGAATTCCCTGTGCTATATGTTTAAGATACCTACTGATAAACTAGATACAATACTTTATTTAAAGCTCTAATTTTGTTTGTTTTATTATAAGCATTTTTATAACCCAAATATTTTAAGTTCTTCTTAATGAGCTTTTAAAAGTTAACTATATTTTGTTGTCTAACGTCAAAGGTAAGGGGATCAATAGATTTTAGCATTTTGCAACTAGTCATTCAGTTTAATGATAGGCTACTTTTATAGTAAAACTTACTGGTGTCAATTCTCTCCATTAAGGACATCGAACAATAGTAAAAAGCATTTTATTGCACTGTGCCTTTCCAATGTTGCTTTTATGCTTCCCTGGCAATTTGCTCAGTTTATACTTTTTACACAGGTAAGATGATTTTAAACTAATTTAAGTTGAATGCAAGATGTGCTTGGTTGTTTCCATAGGAAAAAAAATTTTTATTGAAGTATAGTTGATTTACAATATTGTGCTAATTTCTGCTGTACAGCAAAGTGACTCAGTTATACACATATATACATTCTTTTTTTATATTCTTTTTCATTACAGAGAAATTTTAAATGTGATTATATTTGTGCCCTAATAGATTTTCAAAATATGGAATAATTATAAAGTTTATATACATGTGTGATTTTTTTAAATCATATAAATCTGCCTTCTGTTAATGTGTTTGTTAGTCAGGCAGATATTAAACCTGCAAAAGACTTTTTCCTCTTATTTTAATCCATAATTTTTCCTGTTGGTATTTGAGATGATCTCTGTAAACCTTCCTGTAGATTTTCCTTTTGTCTGAGGAATCATTTTAGGTGCCAAGCTGCGCAACATGGTAAGGGCCACTTCGATTCTTCATGGTAGGGGATTTCTGCTTCTAATCCAGCTAAATGTTGGCTGTTCTGTCTGAAGAGCAGAATCTTACTGGACACCATTTCTCAGAGCTTTAATCATGGTATTATTCAGTGAATTGAGGCCATATCCTGTTTCTTCAAACAACTAAGTAACTAATAGCAAGAAACTGAGCTGGGGAAGCAGAGAGTAAAAGGTCAATTTGGATGAAATTTCCTACTATGATTTTTCTTTAGAACTCCTTTCCACCTAAACTAACACTGATAATATGTAATGATGTTCTTTATTGGCAGTGAGAAATTCTGCCAAGAATCCTTGTGCTGCCAATTGTCTACAAAGAATGAAGTTATAACCACAACTTAATTGATGCTGCATGTTTAAAGCATGTTAAGAGTATTCCCTCTGCCTTACTTCCTTATATTTGGTCTATAACTAACACAGAATTTCTATGGTTTTCATTATTTGCATATGCCAACATAGTAGAATAGATTTCTAATGTGCATCATTTCCTGGCAAGGAAATGTATTAATTTAGCTCCTTTGGTAATTTTGATATTGCCTTAATGATTTTCTATCCATTCAAAAGTTATACTATACTTTTAGTTGTTGTTGTTTCTTTTTTTTGAGATGTAATTAACATTTTGTAAGTTTAAGATATACGATGTATCAATACATTATTATATTGCAATATGATTATCCCCTGATTAACACCATAGTGTTATTTAACACCTCTATCAAGTCACATAATTATTATTTCATTCTTGTGGTGAGAACGTTTAAGATCTAGTTTCTTAGCAACTTTGAATTATATGATACAGTATTGACTATAATAACTATGCTATGCATTAGAACTGCAGAACTTATTCATCTTCTAGTTGCAAGTTTGTATACTTTGTCCAACATCTCTCTAATTCCCCCAAGCCCCTGTTAATCACCATTCTACTCTCTGTTTTTACAAGTTTGGCTTTTTTAGATTCCACATACAAGTGATATAATAAAGTATTTGTCTTTATCTGACTTATCTCACTTAGCATAATGCCTTCAAGGTCCATCTGTGTTGTCACAAATGGCAGGATTTATATCTATATATATATATTTATATTTATATTTATATATATATATGTAGCATGTCTTCTTTATCCATTCATCTGTTGATGGACACTTAGGTTGTTTCCATACCTTGGCTATTGTGCATAATGCTGCAGTAAACATAGATGTGTAGATATCTCTTCAGTATTCTGTTTTCATTTCCTTTGGAATATGTACCCAGAAGTGGGATTGCTGGATCATATGGTAGTGGTATTTTAAATTTTTTGAGAAACCTCCATAGTGTTTTTCATAGTGGGTCCACCAATTTATTTACATTCCCACTAACAGTGCACAAGGGTTCCCTTTCCTCCACATCCTCACCAACATTTGTTTTCTTTTGTCTTCTTGATGATAACTTTTCTAATAGGTATGGAGGGATATCTTACTGTGGATTTGATTTTATTTCCCTGATGATTAGTGATATTGGGTGTCTTTTCATGTACCTGTTGGCCATTTGGATGTATTCTTTTGAAAAATATTTATTGTTCCTGTACCCATTTTTTAATCAGTTTTTTTTTCGTTATTGAGTTGTATGAGTTCTTTATGCATTTTGGATATTAATATTTCACCTAATAGATGATCTGCAAATATTTTCTCCCGTTGCATAGGTTGCCTTTTCATTTTGTTGATTGTTTCCTATGTTGTGCAGAAGCTTTTTATCAATAGTTTGATGTAGTCTCACTTGTTGATTTTTGCTTTTGTTGCTTGTGCTTTTGGTGTTACAATCCAAAAAATCATTGCCATGATGAGGGTCAAGGAGCTTATTCCCTAAGTTTTCTTCTAGGGGTTTTATGGCATCAGGTCTTATATTTAAGTCTTTAATCCATTTTAAGTTAATTTTTGTGAGTGGTGTAAGATAGAAGTCCAATTTCATGTAAATATCCAGTTTTCCTGACACCATTTATTGAAGACATTACTTTTCCCCCTAAGTATTCTTGGCTTCCTTGTCAAATATTAATTGACAGTGTATGCATGGGTTTACTTATGGTCACTCAATCTGTTCCATTGCTGTGTATATTAGTCTTTATTCCTGTACCATACTGTTTTGATTACTGTAGTTGATAGAGTAATGGGGGTTCCTTATATGTTACAGTCCTTTTTTTTTTTTTTGCTGCTTTTAGGATTCTCTCTGTCTTTGATTTTTGAGTTTCATTATAGTGTGTCTTAGGGAAGGTATTTTTCAGTTACAGTAATGGGGTGATTTATTAGCTTTGTGAACTTGCATGTCCAAATCTTTTCATAGGTTTGGAAGTTCTCAGCTATTATTTCTTTAAATAAACTTTCTGTCCTTTCTCCCTCTCTTTTCATAGAACTCTGGTGATTCTCTTATTTGATCATTTGATATTTTCATATAAATCACATAGACTTTCTTCACTCTTTTTCATTCTTTTTTCTTCTTTCTCCTCTGACAGCGTATTTCAAAGTTCCTATCTAACTCACTGTTCTGTCTTCTGTTTGGTCTGTTCTGATGTTGATACTCTATTGCAGTTTTCATTTCATTCATTGAATTCTTCAGTTCCAGAATTTGTTTTGTTCTTTTAATCATTTTTATCTCTTTGTTAATCTTCTTATGTTTTTCATGTATTTTTATCCTGATTTCATTGAATTGTATTTCTGTATTTTCTTATATCTCATCGAGTTTCCACAAAACAACTATTCTGAATTCTTTATCAGGTAAATCGTAGAATCCTGTTAGAGTTTGGTTACTGGAGGACTATTGAGATTTTTTGGTGATATTTCATGTTATTCTTATTCATGTTTCCTTGATTCTTCATGTTCCTTGAAATTTTGTGTTGCAGTTTTTGCATTTCAGGTTGCCTTCAGGTGGGATATATTCTTCATTCATCCTGCTTATATCTGGGGGTTTCTCTGACCTTATATGGATACACCTGCTTCATGCTTCTTGCTCCCTCTGTGGCAGAATTATTAAGCTTGTATGTCTTTTCTAGACAGGCCCACAGACCCTGGCCTCTTTTTCACATGAGCTCCTTATCTACTAGAACTCACTCTTACTGCCACACTAAGGAACATCAAAAAGGAGCCAGCTGCAGAGTCGGGAGAGGTGTGAGTTTAACACTCAGGAGGTGTCAAGAGTGCCTGCAGGCCAAGTGGAGGGATCCTTGGGTGGTTTTCTCAGCAGCTGGTAGGCAGGTTTCCTGCCAGAGTCCTGAGCACAACCAGAAGGAACTCCATCCTTTTAATGCCCTCTGATATTCTTAATTTGCCTCTTTCTCAGTCTCCTATCTGCCCCAGTCAAGGAGGTCGCACCGCGGAGCTCTGAGTGCTGTGGGAAAGAAATTGTTTTTTCCAGCAATGTCCTGCATAGCTGGGAATGCCAGGCACACACTCATCATTCTCCCTTTCCCCCATGGGAGAGGTTGCCACTGGCTAGTTCAGGCTCTCACTGTGCCACCTTGGGGATAGGGTGGTGTTGACAAAGTTCCTCTTACTCTCTCTAGTGCATCCAAACTCATATATATTTTTGCTCCAATGAAGTGCTTGAGCCTCTCCTCAGGAAGACTGGATTCTACAGGGCTGTCTTGTCTGTGGGTATCTGCCCAAGTCAGCAGTATCCAGATTTTCTTCAACCATAGCTGAGAAGAGCTGAGATTAGTTCACTGGCTCCTGCTTATTCCACAGCCTGTACTGAGGTCTGTCTGCCTATTACCAGATACATAGGTGGGCAAGACTCCTTCCAGGACCCTTGGCATATGGTGCTGGATCCCACAACTTCCACAGAGGCACTTTTGTTCATGGGTGGATGCCAAATTTTAGTTGTTAAAAGGGGGAGGCAGAAAAGCGGGACACCTTATGCTGCCATGATGCTGACGTAACTCCCAGCTTTTAGTTTTCTGAATTAACGTATAAAGTTTTGTTTGCTTCTGGTTTTTTTTTTTTAATACTAACGTGAAGATAATTCAATGTTATTTTTCTGGGAGTGTTCTAAGGCTTTTATTCTTGATTATATTTTTCACAGATTAAAGTTAAGATTAGTTCATGTCTCTTGCACATATTGTCTGAGAAATGGGGCTGAAGGACTCAAGGACTGGCTATATTTTAAAGGAAAAAATTTACAAGCAACAGTTGTAGAAACCTAGAATATTTGGAGTGAGAAGACCTTAAAGCATTATCATTCTTAAGAAACTGAGAAATTGTGGCTTACTTATTCAGTAACTGGATTTTAATTTATAATATGCTCTATTTTCTTATATTTTATTAGAGAACTCCCATTCATGTAGGAGAGATTGTTATGACCAAGGACAGTAAAAGGGGTAGTTGCAGAAAGGAGGTTATAAAATCAGAAGTGATAGAGATGCAGATTATTTCTGGAAGAGATAGTATCAATATATCTATACAAAACTGGTTGTCAATTTCATATTCTTTCTTTATATAACTGATTCTTTGCTTGGGATATGTATAAAGCCATATCTCTTTTAA